CTGTTGTATGCATGTTTTTCACTATTCATACCTTTTATTCACTTTACAGCTGATTGGGAAGACACCCATGGTTTACTTGAATAAGGTTGTCAAAGGTTGTGTTGCAAATATAGCTGCCAAGCTTGAGATTATGGAGCCGTGTTGCAGTGTCAAGGATAGGTTAGAGACAATTTCGGCTCACATTCAAATCTTTATATTGGTACGAGATATATAGTTCGTAAATGAGCAAACTATCGTTAGTATGTTTCTTCTTGACTCCCGTAGTTGTAACCGATAAGAAACTTACCTGTGTATAATTCATTTTGGTTGTGTTATGTTTAGAATCCTTTCACACTAGTTTTTTCTGCTTGCAGGATAGGATATAGTATGATAGCTGATGCCGAGCAAAAGGGGCTTATATCTCCTGAGAAAGTAAGATGATGAACCTTAAATCGTTATTTTTTGGTTAAAAAATATATTTTTCTTAGGAATCTGTTACGAAATGATCTCTATTTGGAAATTTTCATTTTTTAGTTTTCTAATAAGTTCTGTAAAAAATTATTCTATCCATTCACTTGCGTGGCTCATACTAGATACTAACAGCCACTTTCAATCATTATTTTATTACTTTTATATGAAATCATCTTTAACCTTTATACATTCATCCCATATCCATTTATCATCTCAAAATATTTCACTCCTCTTTAAGAAAAGATAAAACTCATCAATATTCTCTAAGTAAAAGAAATTTAAAACTTGAAATATCCAACCCCAACCGTAGGATGGAACTGGATGCACTAGTAAAGTTTGCTCTGATTAGACAACAAGGTGGAATTTTGTGAAGAATGAGAAATTTTGAGATCGTGGTTGGATATGGAATGAAATGCAATAATTAAAGTTAATTTTATGTAGAAGTAGTAGACACTGATTGGAAAGAGTGGTAGCTGAGGTATCTGAGTAACTCGTGAAGTTTATCGAAAAGTTATGTACTAATGATTGGTTATTGACTGTTTATTTTAATATGAGATCAAACTATTGTTAGTGAAATGCAAGTGTGGATGTTGTATTTTTGTCAAAATTTTCAAAGTTCCTCACGTTGAGAAAATTCTCGAAATGAACTGAATTTAAATGCACTTGAGGTCTTAACTTTATATATTGCACTTTTAGTTGGTTTGTTTGTTTGTTTGTTCTTTCTTAGTGCTTTTGAAGTTAATATATAGAATTCTTGTGTTAGTAACTTCTTGACTTATTCCTCTCTCTCTCTCTCTCTCTCTCTCTCTCTCTCTCTCTCTCTCTCTGTCTTTTTGACATTTGGAATATAGTGTTGTATTACTTTATTCTCATTAACGAAATTTGGGTGTGCACTAGACTACTTTGGTTGAATGTACTAGTGGAAATACGGGAATTGGGCTTGCATTTATAGCTGCCTCCAAAGGATACAAGATAGTGTTGGTGATGCCTGATACCATGAGTCTCGAGAGACGCATTCTGTTAAAAGCTTTTGGAGCTGAACTTGTTTTAACGGATGCGAGGAAAGGCGCAATAGAATGTATTAATAAAGCTGAAGAAATAACGAAAAGAACCTCTCACGCTTATATGCTCAGACAATTCGACAATCCTGTGAATCCCCAGGTTGTTGTTTTCACATTCTTTTAATTAGCTGCCTCCAATCATTTGTTTTATGAAGAATGTATTCATAAATCAATGTTTGCTCACATATTATTTAATTAATTATTTTGGCAGACTCACTATGAAACCACTGGCCCAGAGATATGGGAAGCTACAAATGGGAAAGTAGACATATTCGTCGCCGGAATTGGAACTGGTGGTACCATTTCTGGAGTCGGTCGATATCTCAAACAGTATAATCCCAATGTGAAGGTAGTCAAATTTCTCTTTGAGAGTAGTTCTCATCATTTTGTTTCTTCTTGATAGTTACAGCATGTTGTATTAGGTAATTGGCGTGGAACCCACGGAAAGCAACATCCTCTCTGGTGGAAAACCTGGTTAGATGACTGTATAGACAATGCAGCTCTTTAATTTTGCAAGGCTATTAAAGGTGGTGCTTTGCTTTTAATTTTATTTTTTTTTTGTCTAGCCATCTGCTTTCTGTGTTGGCAGGTCCTCACAAAATTCAAGGGATCGGAGCAGGTTTTGTTCCAAACACTTTAGATCGAGATGTAATGGATGAAGTAGTAGAGGTCTGGACCAACCTAGAAAAACTACGCTTTGAGTTTATGCGTTGATCTAAAATACACACGGTTTATTTGACTTTTTCGGACATTCCATATTTCAGAATAGTAGCATATCAAATTTGTGCTTTGTATCGATTTTAGTTTAACCATGTAATTCTTTGTTTTCCTCTGTCATTGCTAGATATCAAGTGAAGAAGCTATAGATATTGCCAAGCAATTGGCCCTTCAGGAGGGAATACTGGTTAGTATGGCAGCGTAACTTTTCGTATCTTCTTTAGTTCTACCTATTATTATCATCAGGTGAATAAGGTTTTACATTATATTTATCTTTCTGTACTGTTTCATATGCTTGTCATTGAATTAGATGCAGAATTAGTTAAATCAAGTCATATTTTCTTCCTTTCAACTGCCATGAATATTAAATTTTTGGACTCGGTTTTATTAGGACCTCTTAAACAATTGTTTTGTTCCAACTCTTGGCCCTTACCAGGCGGGTATTTCTTCTGGAGCAGCAGCAGCTGCTGCTATTAAAGTTGGACAGAGACCAGAAAATGCTGGAAAACTTATAGTGGTATGTAGATTTTTTTGTTTTGTTTTTTTCTTTTGCAAGACAAATCACATTTATCAAATTAATTTTGTTGCATTTGAACACATATTCACCTTAACTGAAAAGGCTTTTATTTACCCAATTCGTTTATCTAGGTTGTAAATTGTGGATCGATCAAACTTATTGTGTGGTTTCTCCATTTTGTGCGACATTTAGCGAAATATTATAATTAGGGATATTAATTGTATGCAACCTGTATTTTGCATGAATTTGTCTTTTGCATTATGTATGGGATCCCATACCTTGCTTTTTCTCAAACTACATTTTACTGCCTCCAGACTCTCTTTCCCAGCTTCGGGGAAAGATACTTGTCAACAGTTCTTTTTGAGTCCATAAGCCAAGAATGTGAGAAGATGCAACCCGAGGCGTGAATCTCATCACTCAGACTCCAAGGTGATAGATCATTCACAAAGAACTGGTTCCAAGAAAATTGTACCTTTCTTTCTCTATTCTCTCCATCAAGTTTATCTTTGTTGTATTGAATTAATCACACCATGAAACATGCAGAGTGCTTGAGCTAATTGTTTCTTGTTCATACCTGATAAGAATCTATTCCAGGGTAAGTCTATTCATACGCTGTCTTGTAGGTCACTGGTTCGGTTTCGGTTTAGAGAAAGTCAAATGCTCAACAATTACTTTTCGGCACAGTGTAATTTTGATTCAGTTTTTGGAACGATTTGAATGGTCCGAGTCCCATGTTCAGCTCTACCCGATGTAACAAAAATGTAAATGAGGTATATTTTATATTAAAGTTGAAAACTTCCCCATTGGACATATATCATTGCATGTTTTTTCCAGTGGTTTAAAACGTGTATAACGTAATGCATCGCGTTTTGGTCTTTATATTGCGTAGCGTAAATAAAAAAAACACAAAAAAAAAAAAAAACTAAAATCACACAAGTCTATTAAATGGTTTTCTCCTATTTAAGGTCGGCATAGAAACAACCGAGTCAAAGCTCAAATCCCCAATGGAGTGTAATTCTTTTTACAACAACACCAACAAAGACTGTAACCTACTTTTTTTGGGGAGAGGGTGTGCATGTCAAGGACGTAGGTCCTGCTCCAATCCCAGTCGAGGATTTTTCACTTCACAAGTTGGTAGATACAATTATTTGTATGCTACATCCTGAGGTTAAGCAAAGTGCAACTGAACTGGCACAAGCAATGGAAGATGACGATGGGGTGATTCTGACACGTCATGTCAATTATTTTCAAGTTATTGACCATTCAGGTGATGTTGAATTTTTTAGTTTTATGATGTTTGG